ATTTCTACCAAAAACAGTGATTGATTAGGTTTGTGATGTCTGGCTGCTATTATTTTGAACACAACTGTAACTGAAACGTGTGGCATGCATTTGTATGCAGCCCCCTTTACTCTGATACCCCTGACTGAAATCTAGTGGAACCAATTGCCTTCAGAAGTCCACCTGTGTGTAATTTAATCTCAGTATAAATACAGCTGTTCTGTGAAGCCCTCAGAGGTTTGTTAGAGAACATTAGTGAACAAACAGCATCAAGAAGACCAAGAAAACACACCAGACAGGTCAGGGATAAAGTTGTGGATACGTTTATAGCAGGGTTAGGTTATAAAAAAAAAAATATCCCAAGCTTTGAACATCTTCTGGAGCACTGTTCAATCCATCATCTGAAAATGGAAAGAGTATGGCACAACTGCAAACCTACCAAGACATGGCTGTCCACCTAAACTGACAGGCCGGGCAAGGAGAGCATAGCAGCCAAGAGGCCCATGGTAAAAAAAAACAAAAACAAAAACAAAAAAAAACAATAAGCACTTAAAGTGTTATAGTGTTCAGTCACATGGTCTTTACCAGTCTCCACTATACAGCAATTTTCATTCACTATGGCTTTGGGATGATGTCACAACTGTGGCTCCTCCCCCTATATGCATTCTGTCTGTAGGTAGGACTTTCTCAGTAGGATCAGAGCCGTTCCATCTCAAGCCTATAATTATCCTCTCCTCCCCTGGCTGCCACCACCATAGCAACCATGTACACAGCAGCTCAGCGAGAACAAGAAATGATGTTCCTGGACACTGAAACATCTGCCGAACTATGGAAGAAGTTGAAGACAGAATACATCCGCTCAGGGAACATGTATTTTAGCAATGTGTAATCAGTAGTTGCACTCTGGAGAATTATATGTATATAAAGCCTCTTCATCAATATATACATTTAAATGACCATATTCCAAAATTGATCACTTTAGAATCTCGCTGGTATACCACCAATGAGCCACATATGCCTACAGATATGAAGTGGCACTTCCACTCTTGCTCATCTGGACATCTCTTCTCTCCCTTCACAGGTAAACCTGCATTTATGTTACTGATGAATCACATCCACCTTAAACTGAATACAGACTGACAAGTCTCATTGTCTTTCTGGTAATCCTGCATTTATGGTACTGCTACTTCACATTCATTTGTAGCCCTGTTCACATTATTGTGTTGTTTATTTTGTCTTTAGGTTTCTTACCTAAATTGTGACTGGTCTTAATCTGTACAACCCTGCCCTCTTAGTGCTGGATTGTGGTGTGAAAAGGTTGCTCTGCTAGCTGTGTGCCTTATAATAAATCGGAGTTCCACTCAAAAACCGAAGCTCCGCTTATTTGCCTTCTCCTCCCCCCTCCACTGCCATATTTGGCACTTTTTTTGGGGGGGAGGGGGGAGCAGATACCTGTTTTTGACAGGTACCCACTCCCACTTCCGTCTCAGTTCGGCCCCCTCCTACCTCCTACAGTCTCCTGAGGACTTTCACAGGTCCCAGAAAACTGCTGGACCAATCAGGAGGTGCAGTGCAACTTGTGCATGCGCAGCGGGCACCAGGTTGTGCAGCTGCAAGCTATCACAGCCTGGTGCCCACAGTAGAGATGCCGGCACCGTGGAGGAGAGAAGGGACAGCGCAAGAGAGTACATCGCTGGACCCTGGGACAGGTAAGTGTAAGTGTGTGTTTATTAAAAGTCAGCAGCTACAGTTTTTGTAGCTGCTGTTAATAAACACAAAAACAGCTGCTTTAACTCCGCTTTAACTTCTGATTGATTCATTGGCAAACTCCACACCCACCGACAGTATAAATCTAGATCCCCTTTATGAGGTGGGGACACATACCAGGGTGGTGCATGTTGGGGTTCTTCCAATAAAGTGGGTTCGCTAATTAAGTGGCACTTCTGCTCTTGCACTTCAGTGATTGCATGAAGCGAAAATCTACAGCAAGCTACTTTGCAAAACATCAGACTGCAGGTGACCTTGTTTCCCCATTCAGCTCTCCTTCCTCTCTGTAACATGCGCTCTACCTTTCCTTTTCACAGTTGTGTCCTCTCTCCTCAAACTCTGTTTCCTTCACCCTTCTTCTCTACCCCATAATCTGTATATATCACCTTCACTTCTTCCCTCCCATTATCACTGCACTCATCTCCTCCTAAATCTAATCCCACATGCTAATAAAACCCCCAGGATGCTGAGACATGTCCCCTCATTTAAATCACACTCTCAGATTACCTCTCTCACTTTTCTCTTACCCCTGGAGACATATCCCCAAACCCTGGGCCTCCTTTATTTAAAAGTGGTCTTGTAGAATAATAGCAGTTTTAGCCTATTTAGGTAGATCATTTGTGTGATTTCTGTTAAAGTTTTTTCTACTTTTTGATATTAAGTCGCACTTGGTCCCTTTATGAGGCTGCTTTATCTTGATAGGTTCCCCTTTGGTGCCACCTATTTTGTATAATGGATTTTTAGCCTTAAAGGACCCCACCAATCTATAGGTGAGTCAGCTGTGTGAATTTAACAGTAGGAAAAAGTATAAATTTCATTGTTGATCAAGGGTCTACTTTAAATGGACCCAAGACACACTAACTTTTATCTGTGCTTGATTTTGGCCTCCTTTATTTAACTAACCAATGCACCCATCACTCTCCATCCTCTCATCATGTCTCGGCGGGTGTTGTTTTTTTCTTCTTCCGGCCAGGATGGAGGCCATTGTTCATTGCAATTGACTTGGATCTGCATTCCTTGATGATGTAATTGACAATAGAAGTAAAACGTGGGACTTTTTTTTTTTTAATGTAAAAAAAATTGTTTGTTATCAAGTTATTTGTTGTTTATTGTTATCACTTGGGCGCCAGTGGCGAGAGACACACACAAAGGGCGATCTATGTGATACGGTGGAGTGTACGAACCATACTTGGAAGATTTTGTGACTTGACACATAGGAGTTATTGGATTCTAAAGAAGTCTATTGATATTATACAATTATTGTCCGGTTGTGGACTTTTCCTACACCTCCCTTTTTGATGGGATAACCAGATTACTTTGCGGAACGCATATACAGGATGCATTACATATGGATGACATCTGCATGTGGATATATCCGTTATCTGCTTCTTGGGTCAGGTTTCATTAGATTGGAGACAAGGGGAGGGGATCTTGTGTGTGGATGTTCACCCGTGACCATCATTTACCGCTGTGTGGATGCTGTTGCCCCACCTCTGCCTCCAATTTTTCTGGGGTCCTGAAGAAGCTAATAAGCGAAACACATCAACCTCTGGAGGACATAGATACCACAATACATGATGTTGTGAAAATTTGAGCTGACTAGCCAAGTATTGTTTTTATAAAAAGCATTTGAAAGATGTTTTTAAATAAACATGCTTTATACATTAACATGAAGTTGTCCGTTTTTTGTACCAGTTGGTCCCATTGGTTTTTGTTTTCTTCTGTATGATATATTAGGGATGGGGTATATTTGCAGTCTGATTAATATAATAGTTAATATACAATATGCAAAGTGAGCAGACAGAAGAAAGTCTAAGTCATATCAATATTTAGTGTGACTGCCCTACGGCTTCAAATCAGCATCCATTCTTCTAGGTACACTTGCACATTGTTTTTGAAGGGACTCAGCAGGAAGGATTTCCAAACATCTTTGAGAACTAACCACCTTTATGAGGTACATTTGATAAAATGCCTTGGAAAAATCTAGAAAGACTTCGACCGCTGGACTTCCACCTTCCAATTTCTCACTTACATTCTAATAGAAGAATAAGAGGTTGGTCTGGCAAGAACAGTCTTTCATAAATTCCAGGTCGGTTATCACTTATTATCCCTCGATTGCAGACAAGTTTCTGTACAGAATTCCTTACCATTCCCTCAGATACCTTATACACTTATTGATGTTAAGCTGAATGGTCTGTAATTTCCTGCTATACATCTTGATCCTCTAATTCAGCGGTTCTCAACCTGGGGGTCGCGACCCCTTTGGGGGTCGAACGACACTTTCCCAGGGGTCGCCTAAGACCATCGGAAAACACATATTTCCGATGGCCTTAGGAACCGAGACACTGCTCCTTGATCCGTCTCCAGGTGTGGGCGGGATGACATGCCGTCCCTGTCATCTGGACACACCCCCGGGATCAATCCTTCCTCGTCGGTGATTGGCCGCCGCCGAACTGTAGCTCAGGAGAGGCACACAGGCGGCCAATCACCGGCGAGGAGGTGGAGCTCCGAGCGGCACCGCGAAGATCGAGCGAGTGAAGAGGAGGAGAGCGGCCGGAGAAGGAAGACATCTGACCGGTAAGTGTCTGTACCATGGGAGAGGGAGGGAGGGAGCGAGCCCAGGCTGGAGCAGGGGTCAGCAAGGTAAGTATCATTGGTGTCAGTGGAGGAATAGTGCCCAATCATTGGTGTCACTAATACTAATGATGGGGCACTATTCCTCCCCCCACTGACACCAACGATGGGGCACTATTCCTCCCACTGATACCAGTGATGGGGCACTATTCCTCCCACTGACACCAATGATGGGCACTATTCCCCCACTGACACCAACGATGGGGCACTATTCCTCCCACTGACAGCAATGTTGGGGCACTATTGCTCCCCCTGATACCAATGATGGGGCACTATTCCTCCCACTGACACCAATGATGGGGGCACTATTCCTCTTACTGATACCAATGATGGGGCACTATTCCTCCTACTGACACCAATGATGGGGCACTATTCCTCCCACTGACACCAGTGTTGGGGCACTATTCCTCCCACTGACACCAGTGTTGGGGCACTATTCCTCCCACTGACACCAGTGTTGGGGCACTATTCCTCCCACTGACACCAGTGTTGGGGCACTATTCCTCCCACTGACACCAGTGTTGGGGCACTATTCCTCCCACTGACACCAACGATGGGGCACTATTCCTCCCCCCACTGACACCAACGATGGGGCACTATTCCTCCCCCCACTGACACCAACGATGGGGCACTATTCCTCCCCCCACTGACACCAACGATGGGGCACTATTCCTCCCCCCACTGACACCAACGATGGGGCACTATTCCTCCCCCCACTGACACCAACGATGGGGCACTATTCCTCCCCCCACTGACACCAACGATGGGGCACTATTCCTCCCCCCACTGACACCTATGATGGGGCACTATTCCTCCCACTGACACCAATGATGGGGCACTATTCCTCCCACTGACACCAATGATGGGGCACTATTCCTACCACTGACACCTATGATGGGGCACTATTCCTCCCACTGACACCAATGATGGGGCACTATTCCTCCCCACTGACACCAATGATGGGGCACTATTCCTCCCACTGACACCAGTGTTGGGGCACTATTCCTCCCACTGACACCAGTGTTGGGGCACTATTCCTCCCACTGACACCAGTGTTGGGGCACTATTCCTCCCACTGACACAGTGTTGGGGCACTATTCCTCCCACTGACACCAGTGTTGGGGCACTATTCCTCCCACTGACACCAGTGTTGGGGCACTATTCCTCCCACTGACACCAATGATGGGGCACTATTCCTCCCACTGACACCAATGATGGGCACTATTCCTACCACTGACACCTATGATGGGGGCACTATTCCTCCCACTGACACCAATGATGGGGCACTATTCCTCCCACTGACACCAATGATGGGGCACTATTCCTCCCACTGACACCAATGATGGGGCACTATTCCTCCCACTGACACCAGTGTTGGGGCACTATTCCTCCCACTGACACCAGTGTTGGGGCACTATTCCTCCCACTGACACCAGTGTTGGGGCACTATTCCTCCCACTGACACCAGTGTTGGGGCACTATTCCTCCCACTGACACCAGTGTTGGGGCACTATTCCTCCCCACTGACACCAGTGTTGGGGCACTATTCCTCCCACTGACACCAGTGTTGGGGCACTATTCCTCCCCCCACTGACACCAGTGTTGGGGCACTATTCCTCCCCCCACTGACACCAACGATGGGGCACTATTCCTCCCCCCACTGACACCAACGATGGGGCACTATTCCTCCCCCCACTGACACCAACGATGGGGCACTATTCCTCCCCCCACTGACACCAACGATGGGGGGACTATTCCTCCCCCCACTGACACCAACGATGGGGCACTATTCCTCCCCCCACTGACACCAACGATGGGGCACTATTCCTCCCCCCACTGACACCAACGATGGGGCACTATTCCTCCCCCCACTGACACCAACGATGGGGCACTATTCCCCCCCACTGACACCTATGATGGGGCACTATTCCTCCCACTGACACCTATGATGGGGCACTATTCCTCCCACTGACACCAATGATGGGGCACTATTCCTCCCACTGACACCAATGATGGGGCACTATTCCTACCACTGACACCTATGATGGGGCACTATTCCTCCCACTGACACCAATGATGGGGCACTATTCCTCCCACTGACACCAATGATGGGGCACTATTCCTACCACTGACACCAATGATGGGGCACTATTCCTACCACTGACACCAATGATGGGTCACTATTCCTCCCATTGACATCAGTGATGGGACACTATTCCTCCCACTGACACCAATGACGTGGCACTACTACTCCTCCCACTGCAAAAATTACAGTTATGAAGTAGCAACGAAAATAATTTTATGGTTGGGGGTCACCACAACATGAGGAACTGTATTAAGGGTCGTGGCATTAGAAAGGTTGAGAACCACTGCTCTAATTGGTACCACATTTGTGCTATGCCAATCAGTTAGTACCATTCCAGTCAGTAAGGTGTCTTTAAATATTAGAAATAGTGGTTTGACTGAGCTAAGTTCCCCAATGACTCGTGGGTTTAAACTATCTGGACCTGGTGATTTGTTTCTCTAGTTTCTTTTGTACCTAATTTTCAGTCAATCACAAAGATACCGTTAGTGAAACATCATTAAAGTGATACTAAACACACACTGAATTGTCCCTTCTATTTCTGTGGATGATTGCACTGTAATTATTTTAATAAAAAGAAACATCTAAGTACCTTTTTTCTAATTGAATATACAGCTGTCACATGACCCCAGCTCTTTCCCAGTCTGTCTGCAGGGAAACATAAGCAGGAGGAGCTTCTAGTCCTCTGCTACTGGTCACATGTTCAAAATTAAAAAAAAAAAAAAGCCTTTGGGATACAGAATAAAAATAAATAAATAATATCAATGAACTGTTTTAAATTGGCATAAAATATGTATTTGAAATCAAACCTTGATTATAATTATTTTCTAGAAATAACATGGTGTGGGTGGATTTCTGCCAGTCACAGGCTGTGTTACACCCCTCCAGGCTGTGTCTTAGAATAAGAGGGAGGCAAAGCAACCATTAATTTACATGTAATATCCCACCCCCATTGTGTTTAGCTGGTTAGTGGGCATGGAGGAAGAGCGAGGGAGTGGGCTGTCATTTCCCACTGTGTATATGCCCACGTGTGTGACTCTATAGTCACATGGGCTGCTCAGATGTGATAGGGAGGAAATGCTCAGCATAGAAGCTCACTGAAAACAGCACGTGCAGAACTGCCACCACAGCTGCACACTCCCTAGCTGAATTGGGGACATGGACAGAAGGTGGAGATAGAGAGCAGCAGGATAAACCTTTTTTTTTTTAATCTCATAGTGACTGAGTATCAACAGCATGTAATACACCATTTATTGATAGTGTTTTTATGATGTGGGTTTAGTGACACCCACAGGTGCTGCTAGGCCTGCCCCCTCCTCCTTACTGCATGGTATCATGCGAGGGGGCACTGTGCAATTCTCCTAAGCAAATTTCCGAAGTTTGGGGGGCAGGCCAATCCTTTTAAGCCTGAAAAAACGGTAGGTACACAAATGAAAAAAAAAAAAATAGCCCAATATTCAGAGGGGGGCTGGATGGAGAGGAGGAGAGTGCCGTGGGAGGGTGAAGGTTCATTTTATCTTCTGTAATAAGCTTTGTGAAATTAATAGATCCAGCAGAAAATTTTCCAGCTGCAAATGTTTTTGGGTGCAATGACCAGGAACATCTGGGTAGCATCAGACCCTCAGCCTATATAAATGAATAACAGGCTGACAGCAGCCGCCACTGTTCACATGTACCTATACACCAAGTGTTTACCTGTGGATGTCCAAGCCTGGGAGCAGCTGACTGTATCCAGGCTGGGACATCCATCCCTAACCCCAGGTAATTGTTTGTGTGGCGACATGCAAACAGTGGCATCCAGTGGATGCATCAAGACAGCCCAGTGAAAGGGGCCCAAGGGTGCATTAATGCACAGGCGTGTTAATGAATGTGTGTTCATGTGGTAAGGCAGCCCTTTCGCTTTGAATGGGTTGGCAGTACACCTTAACACGTGAATACTTGAACCTGCGCCATTTTTTTCCATGCAAGATACCACAATGCATGGAAGACTCCAGTCTGTGTATTAGTGTGTTTTGTAGTTCCCTTCATTTTGAATGACAGCACAACACACTGCACTTCTGTGCGTCGCTGTAACATGCATGTAAATGTCTGTTTTATTGCTAGTTACTCCAGTGTACCAGTGTGAATGGGTCAGAAAGTTGTAACAGTAATCATTTTAAAGGCAGCTACAATTTCATGAAAAATATACTTTTATTAGGTTAGAAAACACACTTCATTACAATATATTTCCAGTCAACAGAAATATTACAAAAACAAAAAGATTCAGTGCACAAGAAAGGTGAATGAGCTGTGAAACAGTTTTCAGTTCAATCAATTCTTCATGAAGCTAGCTTTAGCTTATGAGCCATCTAGCTATAGTCAACAGGGGTAAACTAATACCAGCAAACGCTGCTGTCTGTTCTGAAATGTTACTTTATAAATATTTCAATGTATAGATCATCTCTTACAGCTTTGTGCCTATTAAAAATTCAAGTATGTGAGACCTGAAATCTAAGACATCCCAGTACTGCTCTATGAACAGCACCCATAGACCTCAGAGGATGTTTATGAGGGTGACAGGAACACGGAGTACTTGATGCTGCAAGTTAAACCAATGACACTATCATACTGTCACACAGCAGCTTAAGAACAACTGATCTGTTTCAATAGAGGCTGAGCGAAACCAACACAACTTCAAGCATCAGAGCTGTATTGTTCATCTGCCTTCAAACACTGAGCTAGCATACCTGGCAATGTATTCCCTAAAAGAACAACCCCCTACCATGTTCTTGATATAGCATTTATTATTCCTATCACAGAGGGCGCCCATCCATTAAAGATACAATTTCTGTCTTTCTGATCATTGTCTGCAGCCAGCTCTGGATACAGTAGGGAATCTGGAAAGTATAAAAAATCATATTCGGTCAACCAGCTTTATAAGTGAATGTTGTCTCAAGGTTATCCCTTAAAATGGACCAGAACCAGGTTTACTTACTAAAACTGTGAATTTATGGCCAAACACCACGAGACTTTAGTTTACTGTAATGAGAGCGATATAAATTCTGATTGGTTGCCAGGCATTAGTGTACTTCACTCACAGCTCTCCACCTTGCAAAATATAAATGTGAACATCTGAGAATCTCTATTTATTGGAATGATATCCTCTCATGTCTATGGCTGCTGAAAAGCAGAGGTGAGCAGCTTGAGGCCATCCATTCTCTACTGAATTATAATTACCAGCACGGCTCATGCAACCTACAGATCCATCAGTATTTAATTCTGCAGCAATGTCCTATTCTGAGTTCTGAATAATATTGGATCATCATAATAAATGGCTACATCTGCAAAACGTATGTTATTAGCATACTGACAGATTCCCAAAGCCAGCAGTTAAAGTCTGGAAAGCACTAAAGAGCCATGCTTACCTTAACATAAAAACATGAAATCTGGATTCCATTCCCCATCCTGATCTATAACATATACTTCATGGATTTTAACAGAAATTTACAGATGTACAAAACTACAGAGCACTGAGACTATCAAACTAGCTATATGTCTGTTTGACCTTGCTCCAAGGTGCTGGCATCCTAAGTGTGGGCACCTGGTTGTGACAGCTTGCGGCTTCACAGCCAGGTGCCCATTGCACATGTGCAAGTGCTCTGGTGTTCTGGGACCTGTCACATGTCCCAGAAGACTACAGGGAGGGAAGACAACTTCTACTTCTGTTCGCTTAGGCAGTCGCAGTGGAAGTGGGAGCGGATACCTGTCAAAATCGGGCTCCCCAAAGGTGCCAACTCCGCTTTAAGTATCTCTGGTGGCAATAGAACACCTATGCATGAACACAGCCACTGAGCCAGAACACAACACTGCAATTACAGAGGCTCATAAAAATACAACCACAAGCAATGCTACATAAAACGTGAAAACACTAACTTACAATACATGAAAGAAGATGAATGCAATCCAGACTACAAACATGGCCACATTTGTAGAGTCATGCAGAGTGTGGCATTATAAAAAACAAAGTTGTTACAATTCACTTCTACCAGTATTGTTCGATTATAGGATCTGAATTCATCAGAACATCCACATATTGTCCAGGATGGGCAGACTGGCTATTTATAATTTAGTTCATTTTAAAGGAAGAGTACAGCTGCGCTTAACAATAGATAACATGAGCCATTTAGTACCAATTATCTTTCCAGCTGTGATTTTCTATACCAGCCTTAAAATAACATTTCTCTACCTTGCAACTGTAGTTGGCTGATTTCTTCTCCCATTAGTTCATACAAAGCATGAACATAAAATACAGGTAATGTGATCCATATATGTAGCATCCTTGGCAAAATCCTTAGGTTTAAATCACTGATAATTCAACTCTGGTAACAAGCAACAGGAGTTCAATTTCCAGTGATTTAATTAATTGGATCAGCAACATTTTCCAATGAACCTGAAGTGTGAGAGCCCCTACCCAAGACTTTATTCCATTTCTACCCAGTCAGGTAGGCTCTTGCACGAATGGTAACATTTTTGATTGAATAGATATCACCTGAATGTACGTGGCCAGTTTTGGGAGCTGAATGTGTAAAAGGAAGCAGGACATACAATGTCTCTTTCTACAATACTGATCATAGTGAAGGGAGATCTCATTACCTAGCACTCATGTTGTCCTACTGAGCACTGGAATGGCTTATCTCAGCATCTACAGATCGGAAGCAGGCAAGCATCTGCCATAATGTTTGCTAAAATACTAATATATACTGTATATAGCTACACTTGACTCTGAGGATTTGCTTTACTATGTTATAGTACCTGACTTTGTCTTGATTTGAGCCCCCTTCACTATCCAATCACAGACTGGAGACACGATGACTGCAAAGCTTACCTGCAAATCAGGAAACTCACATTACCTGGCTGGTTGTGAGGCAGAGCTGTACAAATCTCATGACTTGATAGGCAAAAGACAATTCCTTTGTCAAGTAAAACAGCTCCTTTATATGTGTGTATTAAGTGTGTCTTTAGGTGTTTTCCTGGAGTTCAGCTCAACAAACTGGATTTTCAGTAAATGGTGATATACAGAAAAGTACATATGCTTGGTAGCAGCATCAGAAGGAATAAAAGAACACCAGAAGGTTCATTATCTACTCGATTATTTTCCCTTTAAAACTTTCTTCACAAAAATATCTAATAATTTATCTTAAATAAGCAAATTACTGTCCGTTAACTGTAATTGCAATTGTAACATTCATCAGCAACAAAAACAAGAGGAAAGTGCTTCAGTGATGGACATTGATCTTGAAAAGGCACACACACAGGGCTGTGCTAAGAGCTGGATCTGAGGAATCCCAGAGAAAATATTGTGCATTGTTTTCACTGACCCAAAAAATAAGAGATTAGCTTAGAGAGTGTAAAGGTTGTCTCAAATCTCAGCTTGGTACATTAGCCCTTAGACTGCTTATAGTCACCCGTGAGCAGTAGACAGGCCCTGCCAGTTGAAGGTTAAGGCATTTTCACTGGTTGCTTGTTCCTGGTTCATCTGACCAGCCATAAACCTCTTAAGTGTCTCTGATGTGCCAGGGCGCATCCATGGCTCTGTTGCCACTGTGTCCACAGATTGCGGTCTGTCACTAAACTTTGTAGGGTAACGTTTAAGGATGTCATCTGCATTTTCAAATTCATCAGGATCTTCGTCTTAAATGTAAGAAACATAAATGAGTACTCAAGAATTCATACATTAGTTCTGATCATCCTCTCACATGTCTGTCAGTAGAGTAAGGCCCCATGTACACGGGGACACTTCTGAACAATGGAAACTGAGTGCTGGAAAATGTAGGTTAAAAACCATCTGTTTAGACGCAATTTCAGACGCAAACACTTATAAACACGATTTTCTGCGTTTATAAGTGTTTTGCATTTGAAATGCTGATAAAATCGACTGCTGAATGCAAGTTTTCTGCGTTCAAAAAAAGGACTGTAAGCTCAAATGTCTGTAAACGACTGTAAACGAAGATATGTACATGGACACATAGGAAAACATTAGGGGGAGTTCAGGGGCTGCTGAAAAAAAGCGGAACAGCTCCTAAACATGAGTTTATCAGCTGCAGTGTACATGTGCAGAACTTCCCTTGTGAAGATATAGGACAATACAATTAATTTATGATGACATAACTGATCATGTTAGTTACACACTTAACAGGGTGAAAGGTGACTGGCGGGCGAATCTCTAAGCTTGATGTGTCCCACTCTGCCACTATTTGGATTTTCCCACATCTGCCCCACCTTTATCACATTGGTGTTCATGTTTGTGCTGTGCAGTGAAGAAAACAGAAAGTTACACCACACAGTGTACATATTCAGCTATTTGACTCAATATGCAATAATAGCCTATGTCGTTATTTTGCTAATGAGGAACAAACATTAAGCAGTCTGTTTTATTCTCTGTGCTTTAAGTGCCAAAATATAAGTTATTCAGAACATAAACTGAATCACAGAAAAAGGCCAACTGAGAGGTTCTTTGTCTAAAGCTGTGGTGCCCAACTTGTGGCCTCTGGCACTTTTCGTGCAGCCCTTAGAGTCCCTGCAGAAACTAATCTGTGTTTACCTACTGCCCTGATATAGTGATTTCTAGCAGCCTCTTGTAATGCTCTATGACCTCTCCTAAAGCAGGTGCCCAGTCTCCAGCAACTCCTATAATGATGTTCACAGTTGCTGACAGTCTCCTGCAGCATGTCCACAGTCTCTGACCATTTCTTGTATCACACTTTCAACCTCTGACCATCTCCAGTGTTATGTCCCCAGTTTCTGACCATCTCTTTTAACATGCCATTAGTTTTTGACTATATCCTGGTGTGTGTCTGCTGTCACTGATAATGAATATTCACTAAATAATATTATATGCAGCCCCTTGGTGATGGCAGGGGGAGTATTTGATGCCCCCCCCCCCCCCCATATCAAGAATGTTGGTCTAAAGGAAGAACATCTATTGGTGGCCCTAGCGCAAACTATTGCTTTTTATTCTACATGTGCAATAAATAGTTACTATAGGCAACACAACAAAGATATGATAAGATCTGAAGATAAGATATGATACACTTTGATAAACAAGGCCCACCTATGCTCACTGTGCTTTTCTGAAGCTTTTTCAGTCTCCTCAGACGCTCCTCATTCTTGCTCTGCAGTTCTTCAACATGAGAGCTGGAGATAGAGTTGACAGAGAAGGTGTCTGGCTGGTTTAAGCGAAGTGGCGGCACAGGAGGGATCTCGTTCTGCAGACAAAGTTATGTTTTTTTATAACCCCAAAAAAATTACAGGGCTCTTATGAAGACAATAAGAAACATTTACACCACTAGATTTCAAAAAGATACAATAAATATCATCATACATCAAAGTCCACTGTCTGCTGCTTGTGTCGCCTTCGCTCTCTGGCTGCAGACAATTGTTGCATGTCAGGAAACTGCTCAGTGAAGGCAATGTATGGCTCTCCATTCTCCCCTTTAAAAAAAAAAAAAGAAGAAATTTGCACTTAAAAAGGGCTAATTTAAAATTCCATCAGCTTGATATAACAAAGAACGTGTTTGTTTAGGGATGACAGCTTACTTTTGATAATAAAATTGGGATCCCTGCATAGGTCCACAGCCCAGGCATGGGACCAGTATGAGGTCTAGGAAATCAAAAGATTGATAAGGCCTAGCGGATGACTGGAGTGTATGGCAGATATGTGAAAAGAGCAGCAGCACAGGTCATGTGACAGGGTGCTGGACCTACACTCAGCTTTGCATACACTCCTCATCATACCACTGGCCATGTCTAGGAGAAAATTGTGATATGCAACAAGCAAGAAATGTAACTAATTTGAGTGTTTTTGCTTGCAGCAATGAGCGCTAATAGCTGGGAGCTGTCAACATTTTGCTGCACACTGAACCCATCAATCAAGCATATAATAAATAAATAAAAGACTACACTGGAGCATAATCTGTTTGATGACAGTCAGACATCTAATTGCCTGTTTCTCTTAATAAGACTACACGGACTATGGCAATAACGTTCTGGCCGAGCTTAGGGGTCTCATAGCATATCATAACTTTGTTTATTAGTGAAAAAAACAGGGAAAACATTTCAAATGGATTATTTGTTAATCCTTAAAGAGTAACTCCACTTTTGTTGGGATAAAAAACTTTCTCCTTTGGGTAATCTATGTACATTGCAAGCATTTTAACAAACGTTGTTGCAGATTCCTACTGTTTGTTATCTGAAGAAATAGCTGTTTGTCTGTGTCCATGTGCAGAACAAATTTGTATGGGAGTGGTTTTATGATTATCTATAAGCTGCTGCACCAGCAGAGCTCTAATGAGGAATTGGCAAGATCTCTTTAGACGTGATCTTCCTTTGGGAGTATCTCCCAAAAAATGGCATTTTTGTAGCAGGGGATGCCAAAAATCTGACTTGTATCTTAGTGCAGACTTCTGACAAAATCTGTGAACCAATCACACAAGCAGGAAATTACACTTTCAGGGGGCATTCTGAACACCATCTGTGTACAGAACAGCACCAGGTAGCCATTATGCATTGCATTTTACAAAAAATTATAGCTCTGCAGATTTAAAAGGAAAGGTAATTTTTTAATATCATTCAATTGCAATATGACTTTAGTCGCAGTTGTATACGCTATATTATGTTTTGTTTGCTATTTTTTACCTATGAAAATGGAGTTACCCTTTAAAGTTAATTTACAACCTTAGTTGAGCTTTGTTTAAATCTCAAGCACTAATGATATTCATTGGCTCTAGATGCCAATGAACCTGCAGACTGCCCATGCTAAGCCCAGTACACAGGTAGTAATACAATATAGAGCTGCATCCAATACAATTAGCTCCATCCAAAGAAAAATCTCTGGATGAATGGAGTGAGGGAAATTTACATTTTTAAAAATACACCACTGCTTGCCCAAAGCTAGAGGTGACATTTGCTCTACCATACACAGTGTACCTGTAATTAAAAAAGCTTTATAATTTTATCTTTACAGTTATCTTTATAATCTTCTTTACTGTTTCCACATCAACAATTTGCATTTACAGCAGGTATTTTGCCATCAGAAACAAGCCTGCAAGGGGGAAAAAGGCAATTCTCCAACATTTGGGGGCAACTGATTCTGTGTGTATAGATGACCTGAATGATTTCAGATTGTCTATTTTTGATGATGACAAGGCATTACATTACCTATAAATGCACTCTCTGACTCCAGCAATGAGGTTTTCAGCACATCTTTTGTAGGATCTTTAGGCTGTATTAGTGAAAAAAAGAACAAAATGAGTTCACCTGTTCACATTTCTATATATATGTTAGATTCAAAGCAGCTAGTGATTAAACATGATTAACCAAAATGTCATGTTGCACTAACTTTATCAGAGGAAGAGTAAAGGCAGGAAGCAAATGCAGCTGGAATATTATACTATAGTATACTGTACTAATCAATTCACATAGTCTGTAGATCCTTACCACTCCAGTGTGATGAAGATTGTATTCAGGAAACAGCTCAAAACCCTATAATAAAGGCCGTATAAAACAATCAGGCTGTTAATAAATTCAACTACTGCACTTCCCACTAATAATCTTATTTAAACAAGGGGGTAGTTTAGTTTTGGGTTTTGCTCCTCAGTAAACTCTTCTCACCATTAGGCATTGCTGGTCTCCTTTTCATTCTGTTCAGGTTCCTCTGCTGTTCTCGAAGCAGCGCTTGCTGCTGGATCTCCAGTGACTGATCATCCTTTGGAGGGTCAGGATACATAAACCTTACTCCTTCACGGGTCTCTGTATCTGTTCCACAATAACAAACAATTTGTTTAAGTCCACAGCTAGGTACAAAATGGCTTTGACGCAATTAGCCCATCTGCACTGTTTTGGTTTCTGTTCTCACAAGATACACTGCACTGTGTGTATATGCACTGAGTCTGTTCTCTTTATTTGTATGTTTTTTTTTTTATTCCAAGTGCCCTGAGTAGGTTAATTGCCTTTTAATCTAACTGATTCTGGACTCAGAAACACTGAGTGAAGAAAAATACTGATGCAATTAATTGTCATGGACTAATAGGGGCATAATTTGCACATGAGATTTGGGAGACTGAAACACTAATTTGCAGCACTGTTAAAAGCCCTTTATTGCACAGCACTTTCTAAGTGATCCATTTGGTTCACTGATATATTTATTGCATTAATTTAAATGGGAATTAAGTGAAGTACTGATTGCTACATATACAGTTGTGTTCAAAATAATAGCAGTCGGACATCACTAACCTGATCAATCACTGTTTTCGGTAGAAATGATATTTCTACATGGCAAATAATTTACTAGCAGGTGTAGTAGAGTAATAGAAATCCAACAGACCCAACAGTCATGACATGCATGCTGCTGATTCTGTGTAATTGAATCACTAATTGAAAGGGGCATGTTCAAAATAATAGCAGTGTGGAGTTCTATTAGTGAGGTCATTCATTCTTTGAAAAACAGGTGGCAATTATTGCCCTTATTTAAGGAAGGAAGGCAGCAAATGTTGTACATGCTGGTTACAGTGCATTTCTCTCTGAAATTCTGAGGAAAATGGGTCGTTCCAGACATTGTTCAGAAGAACAGCGGACCTTGATTAAAACGTGGATTGGAGAGGGGAAAACATATACAGAAGTGCAGAAAATGATAGGCTGCTCAGCTAAAATGATCGCAAATGCTTTAAAATGGCAACCAAAACCTGAAAGACGTGGAAGAAAGCGAAAAACTACCATTCGAATGGATAGAAGAATAGCCAAAATGGCAAGGACTCAGCCAACAATCAGCTCCAGGAAGATCAAAGAAGGTCTAAAGTTACCTGTGAGTACTGTTACAATTAGAAGACGCCTATGTGAAGCCAAGCTATCTGCAAGAAGTCCCCGCAAAGTCCCACTGTTGAAAAAAAGACATGTGCTGAAGAGGTTACAATTTGCCAAAGAGCACATTGACTGGCCTAAAGAGAAATGGCGCAACATTTTGTGGACTGATGAACGTAAGATTGTTCTTTTTGGGTCTAGTGGCCGGAGACAGTTTGTCAGACGACCGCCAAGCACTGAATTCAAGCCACAGTACACTGTGAAGACAATGAAGCATGGTTGGGCAAGCATCATGATATGAGGATGTTTCTCTATTTATCGCATACCAGCGATCATGGATCAGTTTGAATACATCAGAATACTTGAAGAGTTCATGCTGCCTTATGCTGAAGAGGAAATGCCCTTGAAATGGGTGTTCCAACAAGACAACGACCCCAAACACACCAGTAAACGTGCAACATCTTGGTTCCAGACCAACTAGATTGACGTTATGGAGTGGCCAGCCCAATCCTCGGATCTTAATCCAATAGAAAACTTGTGGGGTGACATCAAAAATGCAGCTTCTGAGGCAAAACCAAGAAATAGAGAAGAACTGTGGAATGTAGTCCAATCATCCTGGGCTGGAATACCTGTTTACTGGTGCCAGAAGTTGGTTGACTCCATGCAACACAGATGTACAGCAGTTCTCAGAAACAGTGCTTATACAACTAAATATTAATTAAGTGATTCAAAGGAAAGCAAAATCTTCAAACATTTTTTCAGTTTATATAGTGAGTGTTTGAGTTTGTAAAGAAGAATACAAACACTGCTATTTTTTTGAACAGTCTAATATTCACTTTTCTTCAATTTTTTTAGAGGAACAACACAAATTTGATATATTTTTCTTCATGTTTTAATTTGGAATAGAATGTGTAGTGTTCCCAATGCATTTGTGTGTATGGAAATAAAAGCTATTAAAAGGATTTTGAGCTTTATTCACTTTTTTCAAACACACTGCTATTATTTTGAACACAACTGTACATAAGCCAAATACTGGCTAAGACTTGGTGCAGTAAGGAGAGGCTTCGCCCCAAGGAGAAATTCCTAAGGTGCAGGTTCCTAGACTGTTAAGTATGGGAAGCATGCATTCCATGTCCAAAGATAAACCTTACAGGAAGTAGCCTTTCAAGATATGCAGAGGAAGCCTGATCCAAACCAAAGAAGTCCAGCATTTTCAGTTGGATTTAGCAGAGGAAGGGGGTGAAGGAGGATGGTAATGACCCATAGGTTAGAGATGGTCCCTAGCAGAATCTTCCAAAAGAAAAAAAAAACACATTCACTCTCCTGAGGAAATTAGAAAAAACTGTGACATGATGGTTGTCCTGTGCTGGCCAACTTCTGAGCATTCCTGTGTCCCTCAATGGAAAAGAAAGAAAGTATGTTTTGCCTGTGTAAGTGGGACTGCAGCTTACACCCAGGTAATACAACTAATCTTCAACAAATAGTAGGTAACATTGGATAGTACGCAGCTAAATTTAAAATTAGTATTACATTAGAGCTGCACTCGTTGAGGTTAAGTGTTTTCCATTCTCCATTTTTAGTAAAGGACATCACTACATTATACAGTTCTGCAATGGCTGCTTCTTCTCTACTACCTAGATAGATTAAACATGTCTGTATTTACACAGCTCACCTCTGTACTTGAGGTCATTAAATTCTCGGATATTATGCATATTCGCATTCTCCAGTTCCTTTAATGAAGTTCTTCGTACTGTAGCCTGAAGCCTCTGCCTGGCCAGTTCAAAGATATCTGCGGAGCTTTTCTCCCTCCTCCGTCTGAACAGAAAAAAAAATAACTTTAATCCGCATGCCAAAGCTATAAAATATAGCAGGGCATGCATCTTCTTTACTGACACCAGGTAAGGATGTTTGTCTGCACACCAAGATAATACTCCAATATATGCTTTTATTTAGTTCCACCGCCCTTCAGTCTATCACGAATGCTGGTAGACTCATCTGCCACCCTCTCTGCTGATCCCTACACTGACTTCTGCTTGCCCAGCTAAAATAATTAAAAATACAGTATTTTTTGGCGTATAAGACTACTTTTTATACTTAAAAATATACCCCAAAAATTGGGGGTCGTCTTATATGCGGGGTATAAAATGTGAACCTTGAGATTGTTTGGGTCAGGCTGGCTGGATGTGTGGTAATACTGTACATACAGTATACCGTGCTGAGCCAAGCTGGCTCAAAACAAATGTCCCTATAACAGATTAATCTGTCAGCCCGCTGGATGTGCAGTATATACAGTATACTGCGCTGAGCCAAGCGGTTTCAGCCCGCTGGATGCGTGTATGTACGGTAGCTGCGGCTACATACAGTATACACTGGGCCAATCACTGCGAGTGATGTATTCTACTAATGAATACAAAGCCTGCTCGGATTGGCTGAGTCAGAGAGGTGGGCTGATGATGTCACAACCTCAGCCAATCCGAGCAGGCTTTGTATTCATTAGTAGAATACATCACTCACGTGATTGGCCCAGTGTATACTGTATGTAGCCTCAGCTACTGTACATACACACATCCAGTGGTCTGATTACTGTAGGGACATACCGGTACGTTTTGAAACAGCTTGGCTCAGTATACTGTATATACCACAGTGGTATATACTCAGTATACTGTATATACCACACATCCAGCGGGCTGACAGATTAATCTGTCATAGGGATGGGGCAATGGTGTTGCCTCGGAGGGAGGGTAGTCTTATACGGAGAGTATAGCCCAAAAACCTATGTTTTAACTGGAAAATTAGGGGGTCGTCTTATACACCCAGTTGCCTTATACGCACATGCAAAGTCATCCACAACTATGCCATCCAACCTCATGTCAAAACATCATCCCAGCCGTCCTCTTCACCGCTTCCAATACCTCCTGTCCTTTATCTACCACAACACCTCCTCAAATGGTCACCTCAAGGATTTCGCCAGAGCCTCTCCCATCATCTGCACCTCCCTACCCCAATCTGTCCCAATATCCCCTACTTTGTCCACCTTTAGGCAATCTCAAAAAACTTGTATCTTTGTGGAAGCCTACGTATCTTGCCTAGGCATAACAACTGAACTTTTACTTTCTCTGTCAACTCATCCTCTCACAGTTATTACCTTTTGTATTACAGGGGTGTGGAAATTTTTGAAAAAAACTACTTGTCCAGGGACTAAATCCTAACTACTTGTCCAGGGACTAAACAGGGATTATTGGTCCTGGACGTCCGGCGAGAAGGACGTGCGTCGGCGAGCTCCTGCTCCCCCTGGCCCCAATCCGCTGCCATCTGGGCAGCAGCGGACCCTAACGGGGGCCCACGATCCTTTGGTCCCTGCTTATCAGCCAGGTAAGGCCACTGGACCTTTTCCCCCCGACCTCCGGGACTTGCGGCCTACCCGGCACCCAAAGCCGCGGCCTCGATTTCTGGCGCGGCCGACCCGGATCGCCGGGCATCAGCTAAGGCTGCCGCTGCTCTGTTCCCCGGTCCCCGCCGATCAGCCAGCCTCCCCAGGGCCCCCTCACTGGCCTGGGTCCATCCCGACCACCGGGTACCACCAGCTCGCCCGGAGCAGCCACGTGCTCGTCAGCTCCGGCGCCCCCCGCGCCCGATCCGCTGCCATCCGGGCCCCTGAGCTGCTGCCCATTGTCCCCACCAACACCCTGAAGGGGACCACCACACCCCACCGCACCCACCCAAACCCCAGACTAACCAACCACCCACAGGAGACCCCTAACCCACTATCCCCTCCACGCGATCGCTACACACAGGGGATCCCCCCACCCCCCACCCCACCTGGGACTACCAGCCACCGACGCCCACTAACGCAAAAAAACGGACAACTGCTTCGCCACAACCCTGTAGACCCAGACCCCAGCACACCCAACCCCACCCTCACCCACACCCCCCCCACACCCCACGTCTCCTCCCACCCCCGCAAACACCGTACCCCCACGCCTCCCCAGCCCCCCCCCCCCGCCAAACCTGCCAGCTCCTCCTCCTTGTGTCCTCCTCCTCCTCCATCCCCCCCCCCTAATCTAAAATAATTAACTTAATTAAATTAAAAACCAACCTCCACCCTACCCCACCCCCACCCCCGCCCCCAAGCACCCAGGCACGGAAGTCCCCCCCGCCTCTATGACGAACATCTATATCGCCCCCCCGACCCCCCACCTCCACCCCACTTCCCTCCCCGCCCCTCCCCACTTCCTCCCCCCATCGCGAACCTACCCACCACCACTCCTCCCTGCCCACCCCACCCCTCCCCCCCCGCCCACTCCACTTCCCCCCCTGACCCCCCCACTTGCCACACTTTCACCCCCCCAACGCTCCTACACCCCCCGCTCCCCCAAGGCACCCACCTTCCTCACCCTCCTCCTTCTCATTTCAGCTGGGGACCAACTCCCCCAAACCCTTGGCCCCCCCCCCAACACCTCACCCCCACACCCCCCCTCCCCCCACCCCCACCCCCCCCCCCCCTCACCCAGCCGACCGCGACCACCCTCAACCTCATACATTCCCCCCCTCCAACCCCCACTATCCCCCAGCCTCGGTTTTTTGCACTCCTGAAATGCCCGTTCGTTTTTTTGCAATAAGCCTTACCACCCCCAGCCTCCCACCCATCCAGACATACCCCACCCCTCTCTGCTTCGCCCTCCCATCAGCCTCACTACCCCACCTGGGCTAACGACAGGCCACACTTCTCCACCCTCCGCCCCCCAGGACCCCCCGGCACTCACACCCCCCCTCCACATCTGGTCCCCAAGGTCACCCCCACAAGAAGTCACCCCCCGAACCTCCCCACCACCTCCCCCCTACCCCAGAGGGACCCCCACTACCCCCTCCCCCGCCTTCCCCCTTGCCCTGTCACCGCTTAGCGTGCCCTCCAGGTCCTCCACAAAACCCCCCCAACCGACTCTCCTCCCTTCCCCGACAACCTCCTTGACCCGCCACCCCAACCCCTGCCTGGACCCCGCTCCCGATCCTCTACCCCCCCCCCCCCCTAAGGATCCACTCTACCCTCCCGGGATCCACCCCACATCCATCCCCGCTTCCCGGATGACCTTCCCCCCTCCCCCCCCCTGGAAACCTCCCCATCTCCTCGCCCCACAGTTATCCCCCCCCCATAGCCGGGGACACAACATCTCCCCGATCAAACGACAACCCTCCCCCCCCCCTTCCTGTCCCCCCCCTTCCCCCCCTCCTTCCACATGCCCCCCTTCCCCTTCGCGACAGGGCCACCCTCCCATACCCTCCACCCCCACCCCCCAGCCCCCCCCCCTCCACCTTCCAAGTCACCCCCCCCCCTCCAACCCCTCCACAAATCCCCCCCAATAGCACCCACAACGAGCAGGTCCCCCCCCCTCCGCCCTCCCCCCTATCCCCCCCCCTCCCCCCCCCTTCCCCCCAACATCCCCAATCCCCCCCCAAGCGCTCACAGACCATATCAAAAGCCCCAACCTGCCACCCCGATACCCCCCTCCACTCCCCCCCTGGAGAAATCCCCCAATCCCGCGCCCCCAACCCCCTTCCCTCCCCCCTAGTCCCCCCCTCCCCACCACCCCCATATGCCCATGACCCACCACCCTCATACCCATCCCCCCTCCTCCCCCCCTCCCCCCCCCCCCCCCATGACCCACCCCCGTTTGCCTACCTCCCCCCACCTCCCTCCCCATCTGTCCCCCCCCCACCCCACCCCGCCCCCCTCACAACTCCCCTCCCGAACCCCCCTACCCCACTCCCTGCCAAAGGACCCCCCCGCACAATCCCTTCCCCCACCCCTCCCCTCTCCCCCCCCCCCCCCCCCCACCCTCCCCCCTCCCTCCCTCCATTGCCCCACTGCAAGTCCCTGAAGCCCCAATAACCCCCCCTCCCTCCCCTCCCAGAGGCGCACCCCGCCGGACCCCCCTCCCCTCACTCCCCTACCCCACCCTCCCCCCCCCCCGCTCCGCTACTCTTCGGACCACCCAATCCCCACCCTGTCATGTCCTGACCCCCCACCACCCCGACCTTGTACGATCACCATCATGTCATTCAACCCTACAACTTAGACTCACTGTCCTGCCTTATTGCCGGCTCCACCTGGCTACCCCTAACCACACGCCATCATTCAAACCCAAGGAGCCGCCAACCCACAGACCGACAGCATACCGCCCCACAAACGCGTCGCAGTTGCGCACCCTGGAGGAGGACTGTGGCGCAAACCAAAACCAGGGGTCCCCCCCCTACTTCCGGCCCTCACAACCTCTGCATTGCTTATATACAACCTCCCCATAGCCCTCCCAATGCAAAACCAAATGCAGCCCTCTCCCCCTCCCCCGCCCTACAACCCCCTACCCATAAACAACCCCTCACCTTGACCCCCCCCTCCCCCCCACCTCCCTGCCCCCTCCCCGACCCTTCCAACCCGGCCTCCGCGTCCTAGTGACACCCTAGGAACCCTGATTCACAACTCCCCCCCGCTAGACCAACCCTACCTCCTCCAAACCCCCCTTCAGACCTCACCAACACTCCCAAACACCCCCCCGACCCCGCCACAAATCACACCGAACAACCCCCTACATCGCCCTCAACCGCCCTCCCGCCTGGAGCGAGACTTGACCCCAAGACTCCCCCCAACTCGACTTTCTCCCTCCACTCGACAAAAATCTGCCACCCATCTCACCCCTCCCTCCCACCCCCTTCCCCCTTTGAACCTCCCCACCCCCCTGTCCCCCCCCCCCCGACCCCCCCCTACCACCACCTCTCCACCCCCTCCTCCTTCCTCCCCCCCCCCCCCTCCCCCCCCCCTC